CTTTTTGCTCTCAGTGGCTTATTGAAAGAGTAGCAGTTAACTGAATGGCCACATTAAATGATTCCCTTAAAGTATTATTATATTATATTATGGACTAATTTGTTAGAAAACTATATAAGTGTGAAAAACGAAGGCTGTCTGTCATTGGAATAGCGAAAAGTAAAAGCCATAAAACTAAAATTATGCTTAATAGCATGATCAACGTGTTCTTTGGCATTTAATTTCACCTCTCTCTCTCACACTGCTATTAATCATTTTAAGGTTTCTTTAAACTCAATTTGTGATATGAATCTTTCTTCATATTCGTGATAGATTCGTCTTGTAAACAGCTCCATTAAACCAGTAGTCTTTCAGAAATCTTTAAATTACCTTCAGCATGCATACTCGTCTTCAATCCAAGTCGAGAGCGCGTCAATCTCGATAAACATAATTCTACACAATTTAATTGTCGGCTGCTGTCAGTTCAGTTTATGTTGTGGTTGCTGTTGCTGTTGTCAATGTTATTATGGTCGCACAAGTTTGTTGTCTTACCTGTTGACAATATCCCGCTGCCTGCCCCAACATCCGGCCAATTCAAGTTCTCAAAGGCCAACCAATGGTTAGCTTTTTGGAACGAGTGCCATTTGGCTAATGATATCTGTTGTTTGTGTTTAATTGCATAACCATGACTGCCCGCTGGTGAGCACTTCAACTAGGAAATTAAACGGTTTATGTTAATTAATGCCTCAACTATAATTTACCTGCTGTGTTATGGTTTAGTATCTGGTTGGCATTGGGCTGTGTCGAAGACAGGCCGCGGACAGGTCCCAGCTAGCTAGCAAATTAACAGACGCTTAATAAATGCAGTTAGTCCTCAGAGTACTTTGCACTCAGTCAGTTAAAACCACTGGTTTATCTATGACAGAAAACAACTTCAACATACTTGTACTTTGATAGAGAAATAAATTTTTATTTACTTGACTATCTCAATTCTAGAATTCCTTCGAGCTAACGCATAAGAGCGAAGATTTCTTTTAAAAAGAAGATCTAAAACGCCGGTACTATTTATAAACTGTATGAATAGATTATTTGTTGGCTCATTTAAATTTCAAATGACAATTAGCCATCCATTTGCCGCTATATACATTTAAAACATTTCAAATTTCAACTGAGAACTGTGCACTTTGCCAACCACAAATTTAATAGTCAATTGCCATTTAAGGCTTAATCGAGGTAAACTTAAAAACAGCGACGATTCGTGAGAGAACCTTTCTAATCAGAGTAATCGAGAGCCAGCTCAATTTCCATGGCTCCTAGACGGCTTTTGTTTCGACTCTAATTGCCACTCTGCCTTTTATGGCCAGCATCGAGACGTCGACATTTAAAGCAGCGCCCACAACATCCGCTCAGGCAAAGCGGCCCAACCCCAAATAAACACTTTAAGCTCAGGAATTTATTCATTTTCATACTATGATTATTCTTAGACTTTTTTCAAATACTTTTGCACAAATATTGAGCCAGTCATCGCCCATAAATTGTAATAATATCTGGCCCAAGTCAAACATTGAGTGAGTTTCCTCTGCGTAGCTAAGTGAATAAAAATAAATGTTCGAGTGCTCCCCCATTCGGTTTTGCATAATCCAAAACACAGAACTATGGCATGCATAACGCAGGTGTATATACAATATATATATATATATATATATATATTTATGTGTGCTATTTACTTAACGATGAACATATATAAATAAACAAACATCAAACTAAATGGGAAATATAAATATGCAGCAGAACAAACGGCAGCCGTCGACGCGGCCACGCATAAATTTCACGTGTAAATGTGGAACAAACTTCTCGCACATCACGAATCTTTTATTTAAATATACATAATCTTTGCTCATCTCTCGTTTTCGATTTTCAACAACTGCAACGGAAACTTCTTGTGGTGTTAATTTGTAGAGCTGTGAATTTTGTAAGGTTTGCAGCTTGATCGATGGCTAATGGCTTTGACTTTTGATCCAAATAGGACACCATACCACTAAGCATGGCACATGGTAGACCCACTTCTCGAACGCTAATGGAGCATTTGATGGGATTATTTATGCCTCAGCTGTTTGATGCAATCAACAGTTCCAACTGCAACATTTTATGTTCTTTCTGTTCTTTACGACCAATCCGAAACTTGTTTATCGGCAGTACATATACAAACAGAAAACAGACATACATAAGTATTCGGAATTCCATAAATGCCTCACATTGACTGCAGATTAGCCAACAGGCGGCAATGACCAATTGCAACCAGCAACCAACAGCCAAAAGAAAGGATGAAAACAATTATGAGCCGTCGGGCGAGAAGAGAACTTTCTGCTGTTGTTTCAGCTGCTGTTTGTTGATTAAACCTGTTGACCCCAATCCGAAACCGTCGCGACGGTCAGTTAACTGTTTCGTTGCCTGCAAGCGACAAAGAAAACAAAATTTATATGCCAATGATCAGATTAAAGCAAACACAAAGAGCCGAATGCAAAATAATAAAATGACTTGACGGCATGGAACGGGTTTAATGCCGGGAACGGCCGAAAACGCCAATACGCTTTATATATGCATATTCTCGGGTATCAATTAAATGGTGCGGAACCCAGCTGACCGACTTTTTTTCCTACAAGTCGAAGTCAACTGCTTGGCTAACGAGCGGACACCAGTCCTGGCTGGGCGCTAGATCCGTGAGTTTGGAGCATGAAATTTATGCAGATCTATTTGTGTTACATTTCTGTGACAGCAAAAACAACATTCATCTTGATATCTCTTTTCTTTGGGCCAATCGCAACGTTGGCAACAGCATTCCTTATGGCGATAGTTCCATGGCTAAACTGGAAAAATAGCTGCAAGATGTTGTTGTCCGGTCGCCTCAACGTTTACTGAATATTGACAGCCAGCGTTCCCCTTTTGTAGTCGAGTTGCTGCCCATTTTATGGTCAAATAGCTATGTAATTTGTTGCTCGTCGCATTTTGCTCAATGTATTTCACTTTTGGTCTAATTTGGAGGAACTTGTGCCACTTGTTGATCCCTTTTATGATTTATGCGCAAATTGGAAATAAATCGTGAGAACAGTAACTCTAAACGCTGGCCTCCACTTGATTAGCAGCAGGCTGAGAATTGGCGCACAAATGCAGTCACGTTGTCTGTTTGGCCATAAATAAATCGACAATCGATGCCGCAACCAAATGCAAATGAGTGAAAGAAAACTGCAAACAATTAACAGGCAACCAACAGCAGCAAGAAATTTATGTGTAACACAGGCAAACAAACGCGATATGCAAAGGCAAAAACTAAAGCACGGCAGCAACATTTGCCTTTCCAGCCACACAATGTTATGCAATTGTGTATGTGCTGTGATATTGCCCCTGCAACAAGTCTCGCTTCTGTGTCCAGCTTACAGCTCGGATGCCAATTGTATTTGCAAACGGATTGCACAAAGCCAAGATTTATGCATATCAACGTTTAGCCCAAAACGTTGACCCAAAAACTGCTCTGACAGGCGATGCAAAAATCAAGCGTACCATTTGCAACAGCAACAGCAGCAGCAGCAGCTGCTGCAGCAACGTTTAACAATGGGTCAACTTTCGTTCGCGTTGGTGTTGATAAATGAGCCCCAAGAAGCTGAAAATGTTGTCTTGTTGTGCCTGTTGTCATCTTTTATGTTGCTTTGTGTTGTGTTTGTGTGTGTGTTTTAGCGTGTATGTATTTTGTGGGTGTTGTCGACGTTGTCGCCGTTGTCAGCAACAACACTTTCCCAATTAGATGCCGCCACAATATTTTGTTGACTAAATTAACTTACAAAACTCACTTGCTGGCACAGCTGGCGTTAAAGAGGGCTAATGATTTAAAGACATAAACGGTGCATTGTTTTGGAGTCTCTTTATTCCTAACTGGTACAGAAGAAACGCCTCGAAAATGAGTGTGCGAACTGAAATTACGAAACTGCTACCAAAACTGGCTTTTCCTTTAAAATGTTGTAAAATTCTGTAGAATATTCTTAAGGAAGTCAGTCAACATATATATACAGATAAAATCATGTCTTTTAAGGAACCCGGAATGAATATAAAGCTTTTAATTTTACTATACTTTTTACGCGTTTGGAAAACTTGAAGTTAATATCCATTTATTGTACATGCAGTCGTCAGTCACATAAACATTTTTAGAAAGTAATTTACACCAACACACATGCGCCAAGTTGATGCGCAAAAATAAACAAACTAACTAACAAACAGCAGAAATAACTAGGAACAACAGCAGCAGCAACAGCAATATATTACCCAACAGTAATCGGAGACACAGTCAAAGTGCAGAGAAGATACACAGGCAACACACAACTTTTGTCAAAGACTGTGGACGAAAACAAAAACACAGAAGAAAAAAAACAAAATACTCTGTGATTACCCATCACATGGTGCCTGCTCCTCTTGCAGCTCATGTCCACGCAACAGCAACAAGCAACATCAACAAGAGCCCACAACGATGTCGACAAGCAGCAACAACAGCAGCAAAATTTCAATAATTTCATTATCAAGATGAAGATTGATTGATAGTCGCGATGGTAAATGAATGTTTGACTGCTTGGTGAAGACATTGAATGACCGACCGCATGGCCACTTGGCCAATTGGTTTTGCCTGCTTATGGTGTGGGACGCGGTAAGGGAAGACGACGACTAATGCAAATTGTCAAGTTTGACTACTGCAAATTGTTGCCGCTCTTATATTTACATTCAATAACTTTCGATTCATGCCGCAGAAGCTACTGCATTCATGTGTATGGCAAATAGCAGTGAAAGTTGATTGTTGGCTTGGTCAGTGCAACAGTAACAACAACTACAACTACAATTGCTGGTAGGGCTTGCGCAATCTCCACTGCAATGAAAGTTTTTTTCAGTCAGCCTTTAAGCTTATGCGCTAATAGCACAACAATAATAACAACAAAATTCAGCATTACTCATGGTAAACTCATTTTCTTTTTCATTGACAGAACATGGTGAAATAAGGTAGCAAACAAAAACAAGACGACAACAGCAACAGCGAATCGCAACAGCAACGTAATTACGCAACAATGTCATCCTCGATTTGTTCGCACTTTACGCAGAATGCGTGGAAGAAGGATTTATGCTCGAACTGTTTCAAGTCCAAGGATGAGCACAAAGCAGCCGCTGCTGCAGCAGCTGCTGCCGCCGCCGGACAACACAGCTCCAAGCCGAGTGCCCTCAAGTCAGATAATAGCCACACAAAGACTGATTACCCCAACAAGCACAAAACGCCCGCCAAGAGCATCATCAAGAAGGCATTTGGCGTGCGGCTCACCACAACTAGCATGACTAGCAGCAGCAGCAACAACAGCAGCTTTAGCAAGTCCAATAGCAGCAGCAACAGCTCGAAGTCAGGCAAGGTTTGCTTTCCCAAGCAGCTGCACGAGATCATTGGCTATGGCGGCGAGTGGTCGGAGGACGACGACGATGATGATGATCATGACTTTATGAATCTGGGCAACGAGCACGATGACATGGCCATCACGGAAACCGATGATGAAGATGCCGTTGAACTGAAACGCATAACGCGCGCCAATACCGATTTCAACATGAACAATGGTAATTTGCTGGGCGATGCACAGGATAACATTAAGAAATCCTTTGCTGCGCTGAAACTGGGCGCACCACAGGTGGACAAGGAGGGCAAAAAGCAAACGCTAACGATCAATGTGATGCCCTTTGGCCAGCCCACAAAAAAGACAGCGTCCAAAGCGACGCCCAGCAAGACAACCGAGTTGTCCAAGACGACAACTACCACAGCAGTTAGCACCAGCACAGTTATAGCCAAGACAGCCACAACCATCAAGAGCAGCGTAACAAGCGCATCCACCAAGAAGGTAACCACAACACTCACACCCACTCTGGTAAAGAGCACGCCAGCAACATCGTCGCGCGACGGCAAAGATAGTCCGCCCATTGAGCGAGCAATGGAGAAATCTTTGCTCGATGAAATTTCCGAGACGCTTCAGCAGAAACAAAAGCAAAAACAAAGCGAAATCAACACAGCGACAGCACCAGCAGCAACATCAGTCACGACATCGACAACAGTTGCAAGCTGCAGCAGCAATAAAATCAAATTCGAACTGGGCTCGCTGAGTGACGAGCCGAAGCCATTTCTCGACCTTAAGAAACCGATCGCACGTAACGCACCCATAAGCAAGGATCAGAGCAAACCCAAGGTGAACGTCTGCCACAAATACTCCGACACTGACAGCAATTGCTCGGACACGGAGAATGGGGTCTCTGCCTACTACGACGTAGTTGAGACGCAGCTGAGCTACGAGAATCTGCCCGATGGCAAGTACAGTGAGCAGGTTGGCGTGGCCAGTGCCCAAACAGAGGGCAGCAACACACATTACTCCAGCTCCCAGTACATAACGGACATGTTGCTCAGCTCGAAAACACGGGCCGCCAGCTACAATCTACACGAGGGCAACTTCATGACCAGCAAGATCACATCGGATGGTTTGATTGTAACCAAATGCAGCTCGGACGACGCACTTGACTCGACGGGTAGCAGCTTCGATGGCAGCTCCGACGAGGAGAACACCTACAACATGATTCGCAGTGAATCCGACTCAGGCATTGGCATCAGCATTGGCAGCGACTACAAAAATCAGCCCGGCGGGGCGGCGAAGAACAACAACGAACAGCGCTCGCTGGTGGAGAAGAAGCTCAGTGCCAGCACCAATAACTCCGACTACGAAGACATCCAAATAGGCGATCAGTCTGGCAACCAGACGGCAGCAGTAAAGAGCCGTGAGCTGCATGGCGAGCCAGACGGCAGCGCCGATCCAGACAACAAGCTGGAGCAAAAGAAACAGCAACATCAGCAGCAGCAGCAGCAACAATCGCAAGAGTCTGGGGCAGATGCGATGCCACAACAGGTGCCAGCGCTGCCAAAATCGCCGCCACCACCAATGAAAATCGATGCACGTCCATCTTTCTTGCATGGCCTGAAAAAGCCCGAGCTGCCAGCTAAACCTTTTGTCGGCAACAACAGCAACATTAGCAGCAACAACAATTCGCCGCTAAAAACCTTTATGAGCAAGCGTCAGCCCAGCTGTGCCGAACAACAATTTATCACTCAGCTACAAACGGCCATTTCCAAATCGAGTGAGAATTTGCTATTAGCAACGTCAGCCTCAGCCGCAGCAGCGGCGGCGGCGTCGGCGGCAGCGGCAGCAGCAGCAGCAGCGGCGGCTGAGTCAGCCAAAGATGATGCCAAGCTAAAGAAAGGCAAAGCGCCTAATCCGCCGCCGGAGCCAAAACTGAGCGCGCCGCCTACGCCGGAGCGCGATTACAGTTTGGTAGTTGAGTTCGAGCAGGCAGCCAAGGCGGAGGCGTCAGCATCTAAAGCAACATCTAAAGACGCCAGTGACACAATCTCAAAAGCAGCAGAAACTATCGCCACAGCAGCAACGACAGCAACAGCAGCAACAACAACAACAACTGCAACAGTAGCTGGCAGTGGCACAAGCAATCTGTACACCAGAAAGCCACCCGTGGCTGCTGCTGCGCCCGTCATCCGCGAAAAGGATAAGCGAGAGCGTGCAGTCGTCAATCCCAAATTTCGCAGTCTCAACACATTTGTGATGCAGCGCACCAATGCGGCCAAGCAGCTCCAGCTGCAATCTGCCAGCTCCGTGCTGAATCTCAAGCAGCCCTTAACACCGGAGCCAACGCCGCGCAATCAACGCCAACTGTCCATGTCGGAGGAATGTCTGGCAGCCGCTGGCTTAGTGGAGCAGCCAAACAAAGCTACAAAGTCACCCACTGCCTCACCACCACAGAAGCAAAAGTCAAAGTTCTCGATCAAAAAGTTTCTGCGCATGGGCAGCAATGGGAGCAACAAGTCCAATGAGCCCATCTCCAAGAAGGAGAGCAGCGTCTACACGGAGATCTGCACGGGCGATGATGGCAGTGTCATTGGCAAGCCGAGACTCGTCATCATACATCCCATTGACATAAACCCCACGGCCGTTGAAGTTGTCAAGGATATCACAAAGACCAGCGATTCTGTCTCGGCCCAAACTGTGGCTGTGATCACCGCCAAACCGCCAGCTCCACCGCTACGCGCCAGCGAAGGACATCGCGCCCATGAGGCCAATAAACCGGCTCGCCCACCGCCGCCCAAAAGCGCTGAGCTGCGACGCAAGCAGAACACAGAGCTAACTGCCACGCTCAGCATTAGCAGTGTGGATTCCACAAAGATTTCCGGCAATCCCAATGCCGGTGGGTCCATCAAATCTAAAGCGGATAATGTTTATGCCAATTTGGGTGAGTTTTTGCCATATGTAAGCTAAGTGGGTAAATAGAACGTCTCAATTCCATAAATTACACTGAACAACACAATTTTGTGATCATCTCAAGCAACATATTCTTTCAATAAGAATGTTTTTTAGTATTTTGCCAAAATTGAGCTTAGTCAAGAAGATCACAGATTACAAATATCCGATAGATTCGGCCATTACCCAAATACGTATAAGTGTCTGCATTTCTTGTTTATTTTGTGAAACAGTGTAAAAAGAGTGATCAACGAGTTTAAAAATTCCAAACGCCTCTGCATTTGTGGGTGTATTTTAATCTGATCGTGTTCGTATTCGTGATTGTGATTGTGATCCACTTCCAAAAGAAAGCGCAAACAGATCACGTTTATTGGCATCGCCCAAAGACATGCCGCGGCGCCAACTCATGCGACCTTCAGAATGTGGGTCTGAAAGGTCTCTTCACCTACTTTGCCACAAGCGGCCAAGTAACAGCCACAGGCAGGCAACACATGGTCATAGCTACAGAAAGTACTCAAAGTAGAACCAAACCAAAACAAGTTATGCATTCCAATCAATATAACGGGCACACAGAAATCCAAAGAAGCCATCGTCGCTTCTTAAAGTTGCCATAAGCCAGGCAAGGCTGGTCTTCACTAGTCAGGTAGTCCGATTAAAGTAGGTTAAGTGTGCGGGCCAAAGCTGTAGATAAAATATGTAGTTTTACAGATGAACAGGCAGCAGCACAAACGTAAAAACAACAACAGCAACAAGAAACATAAAATCGAAATGAAAACAAACCAAAGCCCAAAGCCAATGAGGTAACCACATGTGAATGTTTAGTCCCAGCTACAAATGCCACTGAAAACTGGCGAAACGAGAATTGCTGCCAGAGAAAGAGTTAGAATCAGAGACCCATTTCTTAGCTGACATTTGGTGGTCAGGCCAATGTGGCGAGAACTTGTTACACCTGCTGCGGTTGCTGCTGCTGCTGTTGCTGTTGCTGCTGTTGGGGTCAGCTTTTGGCAGCTGGTGAAGGGGCTGTCGAGCTCATCAACTAAGCTCAGTTTTTTATTTATTTTTTTCATTTTTTTGCTGTGGAAAAGCTATTTGCTAGACTTCTTGGCCACTAGGCACCATTACGCGAATAGTAATTTGTGCATGAATTTGGGTCAAAATCACAATTAGTGTCGCAGGTTATACAGCTAAAGCTAACAACAAAAAAATGGCATTTGGCATTGTTATGGCCATGAAACTTGGCCAGCAAATGTCTTGAATAGATCATATCTATGAATGCGCATAGAAATTTAACGGATTATGCGCTAAAAACAATGTTGAATTCAATTCAATTTCTTCTGGCCATATTATAGTTCAACAAAAAACTAAAACCAAAATCGCTGTTATTCACCATGAACATATTAAAAGTGTTATTATCAACCATGAACATATTAAAAGTGTATTTTAAATTTAGAAGCTGAACGATTTGAAGATTTAATATAAACAAAAGTTGACAAGCAATCTCCCTAATCAAATCTCTTTCTCAATCCAAAGGCGAAATTCGCTCCTCGATAGCACCACGCAAGCCGGAGCGAACGGCAAGCATGAGGGAGCGTGAGGCGCAGCTGGAGCTGGTCCGTAAACGGGGCATACTTACCGATACTATCTCCATTTGCTCGTCAAACGGTGAGAATGTAACGGCCGATCAATCCAAGGGGCCCATCACCAATCCATTCGAGTCCAAGCCGCCCTCGGGTACAACAAATGCAACGGGAGGAGCAGTCACAGGGCCAGCTGTCAATAGCCGCACCAGCACATTTGAGCGGCATCAACAGAAGAAAGCTGAGACAAAGATGTCCATATCCAGCAAGCTGGAGATCTTCGAGCAGCGAGCCCACGACAGCACGGACAGCGCTCAGCGCAGCAGCCTGAAGGATTCGGTGCGCAAGATTAACAGCACCATCGACAGCTATCTGAAGGACAAGCGCGACTATGAGAACATGTACGAGTTTGTCAAAATGGGCAATGGCCCAAACAGCAACAGCTCAACAACGACGACAACAACGGCAACAGGGACCATAACAGCAACGCCACCGGCGCCACCAGCACGCACTAGCAACATGGATCTGACCTCTGTCTCCGGCCAACGACTCAATAGTCAGTCCAACAGGCGCAACAACATCTACTCGGATACCGCCTCAATAGCCAGCTATTCGCGCAGCGAGTACGGTCCAGTGCGCAACTACGGCCTGAACAATAGCTTAGGTAGGTCAAATCGAATATACTTCTATGAGCAGCATCTACGCTTATCATTATTCAGTAACTCACTTATCAAACTTATTTATTTATTTATAGCCAACATTCCACGCGTCATCTCGGCCTCGTATGCGGGCAGCGAGGTCGGCGAGTTCGACATCTATGCACCGTATAGTTACTACGGCAGCGAGGCTGGAGGAGATGTGGCCACGGACATCAATGACAGCGTCTGGGGCATGCCTATGGTGAGTTTGTTACTCAAACTATCTGCCCGGTAACATTATAAATATTTTATTATTATTTTAATGCTTTTAGGGAAACAAGTTCCGCAGCAAGGCCACGAATCGTTTGCGCATGCGCAAAGGACGCAGTGTCGTGCACAAGACCATCGAGGACAACTATACGGCCGTTGTTGTTGCCAATCATGAAGCACTTGCCCAGGTGCTCGATCAGGTAATCCGTATTATGTAGATTTTAATCATACGAGTCTAATTTCAATCTGAACTCTTTTCTCTCAGCTACAACAGACGCCAGTTGTGCCCGCTGCACTGCGACCGCTGGCCAATGCCATCAACTTGCGCTACGAGGACTTTACCATCTTAGATGGCGCCCAAGCATTTGTGGTGGGCAAGAAGGCCTTCCATGCGGCCTTGTGGACCACATCTCCCGTGACCTTGGCCCTATCAGCTGACTGCAATCAGCTGGCGGGCGTTGGCGGCGAGCTTAGTCAATTAACTGGCGGCGTTTCCGATGTGCTGAATCCCATAACAGAATTTTGCGATCTTGTGCCCAGTTACCAACTCCCCTTGATGCCCACAACGGAGGTGACTCTGCTGCAGGCGACAATATCAGTGTTGCCACGACTTCAGCTGGAAACGCTGCAATCGATTGGAGCCATACTCAAGGGAAAATCCCAGGTGCTAGACAAGAGCAACTTCAACTTCCGCGGCTCCATACCAAATCTTAACAGTCTAAAGGATGCAGCTGGTGGCAATGCGCTCCGCAACGTCGTCTCTGTGCAGAATCTGAGCACATTAAACGAGGAAGCGACGTCGCCTGGCAGTGCGGCGGTGAACGATGCAGAGGAGAATACTCCGACATGTTCCAGTGCCATGCCCGCGTTTGATGATGTGATGACGCGCGAAGTGGCATTCATTATGTTGCAGCTGGTCAATGGCATGAAGAATCTTCAGGCCAAAGCAATTGAGGAGACGCCGCTAAGTCTATCGAATGTGGTTCTTTCCAAGGATATGGAAAACAAGGATGCGCAGGCGCGACTCTGTGTTCTACAGGGGTATGCCAATATATACAATAAATAACTATTATCGAGTATTATGCACTAATACGGATCTCACTTATCCCACAGCAATAACAACGACGATGAGGAGCCAATGGGCACACTCTGCAAATGCGCCCATGGTGCGCTGACCGAAATGCTGCCGACAACGAAAGTCACTCCAATCCTGGCCGATATATTGCAACAGGAGCGAGCCGAGTCCCTGTCCAAGGCTAAGTCAGTGCTGGAGTTTGTACTCTGGGGCCCATCGGATGTGGCTCTTTCGGGCTCGACAAAGGAACGTGAACTGGCGTTGCAGCGCTGGCTGGATCTGGAGCGGGCTACAGTTCTGCATGGCTTGGTGCGCACGCGCGTCGAGCTGACAGTTTACGATGAGTGTCATCTGATGTTCCTCGTGCGCTCAACGGCCAAAATGATGAACGATGCAGCCAAAATTGTATGCAGCTATCAGCAGCAGGCCGACGCCTGAGGTGCATCGATTAAGAACCCTAATAATATTTATTATGCAAAATTGTCATAGGCGTTTAGTCCTTTGAGTTATAGTTTAGCTATACACAATACTTACATTCATATGTGGGGCTTAATGATCCCATACAAACATGTTATATACATACGATGCATTATCGAAGAGTTGTATTTCTCGAATACTTATTATTGATTTAACCTAAAAACGACATAAACGATACGAAATACATTTATCCATAAATTTGTATACACTTCTTTGCGTTGGATGCCAAACGAACATCGCAAGCAAATTGTCTTGTAAAAACTCTGTCTTCAGTGAATCTTTTATTAATTCTAGTTTACTTCTAATTGTAAGTTATTTCTGTATACAACTATTTATACTTACTTACATTATTTACTGATAATACTTACATAATAACTATTGAAAGTATAATTCGGTTTGTCAAAGTAAACATTGGTGTTTGTTTAAATATCCATACGTACAATATTGTATACCTATCTATATGCAAATAAATAAACTGCAATATTTCCTAAAACTTGTATTTTGATCCTTATAGAGAGTAGGGGCTTACACAAGAATATGGTTAAAAATCTGTTTTGAAAAAAAGGAAAACTTTTGGAAGGACATCCAAATCGTCCTTGTAGTTACCCAGAATACAAGGCATTTGTGATTTCGAATCATTTCCATTATATTTTCCAGTTTGAATCTTTATCTTATCAAGTACCCCTGAAAGTTTGCTGTAAGATCTTAGATTTTCTCCAAGAGTATTTAATCTTTTTATTTTGCGCCTAAAAGTATACTTTTTATTTTTCACGAAATTCTCTGATACAAATTAGCAATCTGTTAAGGTGCCACATAACTGAGTGGGTGTAGCTATGAAGGAGCTTCCTAGTAATTACCTTTCAAGTTTGGTAACCTTATCTCTAAAATTTGAGCGAATATCGCATAAATTTTTTTTCGTAAGCAATAAAACACACTAAACACATATTTTATATGTCAAATTGTTCATTTATTTACATTTATAATAATTTATATAAAATATTTTTAAACAGACTGTCTCACATCTCCAGTTTCGTAGTTGATTTTTCATATGTGTTTTTGTTATTGGCCGTATGCATCATGGCTGGAGATTTCAGCTTCCGCGACATATTTGAACATCTTCCTTCGGAATTAGAAAGTTAAAGTTTATGGATTTATTTTGATAGACGCCTAAATTTGTTTTAACGGTATCTTATGAATATTATTTTATGTAAAAATTATACGCTGAACCTCATTGCTTGAGCCTAGTTTAATTGTCAATTTGCGCCTTGGTCAAACCGTATTTTTTCTGATAATTGTTTAGATCTAATTTACTTTCAATCAGAATTTTCCTTGACTGAATCAGCGTAATGACGAAGTTACTGTACTATACTGTGGCAATAGCTACCAAATTGCCAGTCCAATTCTTTTGAGATAACCCATTTTAAATGAATGAAGAATATTTTCAATTAAATTATGTTAAAGCGCCACTTTAAAATGAGATCTCTGTGTACTCAGACACTTATTAATTCTTTGCAAATCTTCGACTATAGTAGGTAGATATATTTATGTATTCTGCTTTTTTAATTATTATAGTATATTATGTTAAGCAAGTGTTTCTTGTGTTGTGGACAGTATATGAAGAGAATTTTGATAATGATGTACAGATTACAATTTATCACAATTCATTAACAAGAATCGACACGTAAGGGATATGAATCCATTGGAAATCGAGATATGGATATGCCTCAACTCAGATAATTGATAATGTCGGTAAGCATGTGAGTAGCAGATGTTGTAGGCAGATTATACACTCGCGATAAGTCAATAATAGATTTATTGAACCCCAGCGAAATGTTTTGCAATTATTATTGATAAATAAATGGCTATTTATATATATACAAAATAAAAATTCTTTGCATACCGTTTGCATTTGGCTGACATTTTTATGACATGGCGACTCTAGAATCTAATAGAGTCCTGGTAGTGGTATGTACTCCGACAAATATACATATTCATTTGATTGTTTATTTTTGTATTGCACTCAAATTGATAACAATCACATTCGGTGGCATCTGAAGAGCTGTCGTAAAACTCTTCAGCCGATAATCGGACCTCAGATAATGCGTGGCTCTGTGAAATATAAAACCTGTGCCCGCTTACCAGCCGACATAGTGAAAGTGAAATTGTTGAAACATGAAGTACGCACTCAGTGTGACTCTCCTTCTGGCCATTGGCCTCCATCAGATCGATGCGCACGGCATGATGCTAAATCCCCCAAGTCGATCCTCCCGCTGGCGCTACGATGGCTCTGCCCCCCAGAATTACAACGACAACGAACTCTTCTGCGGTGGCTTGTATGTAAGTGCACGCTTGGATGAGTCCTGCTTCTAACTTATACTCGGAAAACGAATCTGAAGTATATAGGTTTTTATTCGAGTCCTTGGAATTACTATTTACCTGTGAGAGCCGATTAAATTTGTTCGAATAAAGTGCACAGCGTCCAGAAATGCTTATAATGCAATCAATATACACGGGACATTTTGCGTTGGGTATCCAAACATTTAATTGTTGTAGTCTCAACGACTTGCGCTCTTATAGGGTGAGAGATGCCCTATTTTATATTCAAAATTCACAATTAAAAATTGTACATTTCTTTTGACCGTTTGCAGACCCAGGCCAATAATGGCGGCCAGTGCGGTTTGTGCGGCGACAACTTTTCGACGGGCCGGCCTCGTCCCAACGAGATTGGTGGCCAGATTGGCGGCAGTGGCGTCGTCACAAAGAGTTATGGAACAGCAAATGCAATAAGTGTCGGCGTCAAGATCACCACCAATCATTTGGGTCACTTTGAGTTCAATCTGTGCAACTTGGATACGTTTGGCAGCGAGTCCGAAGAGTGCTTCAGCCAGCATCGCCTGCGCTTCCCCGATGGCAGCGATAGGCTGCAAATTGGCACCCAGAGCGGGGAGTTCGACGTGACCGTGTTGCTGCCCCAAGGAGTCACCTGCCAGCATTGCGTTCTGCGCTGGACTTATGTGGGCGGTAAGTGAACTTATCCGTTAACATTTTAAGCTGATATAAAACTGAAATGCTCGCTTAGCCAACAACTGGGGCATGTGTGAGAATGGCACCGGTGCCCTGGGCTGTGGTCCACAGGAGACCTTCAAAAACTGCGCCGATGTCAGCATCCACTGAAGGAGCTTGCTGGAGTCGCTGCCTACCCAGTTGTGTCCAATGTTGAGGCTTCAATGTTTCTTTAATCCCTCAACATTCTGTACTGTACTAAAGCCAAATATTTAATAAAACGAAAGCATTTAAATGATGATATTATATATATGATATATGATAGTAAAAATCCTAAAACGTTTTTCAAGAAAAGCTCCAATCTCTTGTGCTGCATTGAACTGCTTTCAATGCACTGCTTGCAATACACTGCTTGAAGTACATAATCCTAGACACAAACCAGCACCACTAATTACCGTTCTTGACATCTTATAAAATAGCTTCAAAATCGGTCATTTACTTATAAAACGTTGGAGTCTCAAACTGAAGAATTAATTCAAATTATAACCTGTTAAGTTCTTAGTCATTTGAACGAATTTAGGGATGTTTATCAAGTATCTGATAACCCTAAAATACAGTTTTTTACTGTGAATAAGTTACTGTATATTGCTGTTTTATTTATACTGTTTTAATTATATTGGAGTAAAAAAAATCTGAAATATGATATTTGTGTCTGCTACTTGCCGAGAGAAAATATAGAAATAATAAAATTAAAATATTAGCATCTTATAGATGAGGACCTCCATTTAATACAATCAAGCAAAAGTCATTTGTATCCCTGCTATTATAAATGATTGTAGTAGTTAAAGTTTCAAGGGCATTGCTGTAGCAGATAAGAAAAGACTGATTAGAATGGGACGGTCAGTTACCTTAAACCCTTTAAAAAGATTGACCCACTTCGGTTGATATCTGACTAACAATGTCATTAAGATTTAGAGTTTAAATCTAATAACGCTCGTTTATCATGGCTTTAACAAATGTGCGTAGGCAAAAGTGATTTTTATGAACAGTTTATATTTCATATCAGTTTTATTCGGCTTTTTCTAAAATTGCTGGTAATCAACGAGGCACTTACGCAGTAATAAACAAATCTTGACTCAATTAGTCTTATTGCATGCTTTAAAGATTTTTGAACTTTTATTAAAGCCTTGAACCAAAAACCATTTCTTTTTGCAATGCTGTAATCTCTACGTTGTATCCAAGGCTGCAAAACAATTTAACCTGGCTTATAAATAATTTTTTATCAGCAAAATAATCTACTTCTGATATACAGTAAGATCTCAAAAACGCAATGTTTTGGTTGCTTAAGTTTTTTTAAAAAATCTATTTTTGCAGAAATTATAAGAATTTCATCGATTAATTATAATATTGAAATTTAATGAATTCTTTTGACAAATGTTAAAAAATGCTATATTAAAAAAATAAAAGAAAAATAAATTATAACAGAAATGTATAATTTAAATGAATTGAAAAATTCAATATTCATTGCTGGAAGATTAGATTTGTCAGAAGTTAAAGTTTTCTTAGCAACCAATGTACCATATTCAGTTTGGTTTCTATTTTAATGAGTCAATATTTGGATTGTATTTGAATGTGTCATCGTTGTTTTGGTAAATAAAAAATAATGCCATTTCAGAGAATAGTATTATAACTCGCCAAAAATTCGGCAACAGTCAAATCTAATTTTATGATAAGATTGATAAGAATCAACGAATTTCTTCAAGGGTGTAGAAAAATTTCGGGGGGCGAAAGACAGCCGTACTTAGTTTTTATATGATCAATTTAATATTTGATAACAATTCAAAACAAGAGGAAAAAATAGAGCTTCCTAGTATTTGGCCACCGATAAGACCAACCATGCTGCGCTATATAAGCCTAAGTCCCTGCAACGGAGAGCCCAGTAAAAAGGAAAGTGCAAAGCATAATAATCATCAATCAAAAAAAAAAATATATATATAAATTATCTCAAAATGATCAATATTGCCACATTGGGAGTAGTACTGTTACTTTGTTGCCTCATAGGGCAGATCTATGGCCACGGTATGATGTTGAGTCCAGTGGGTCGATCCTCACGTTGGCGTTACGATTCATCAGCTCCCACAAACTACGATGACAATGGTCTATACTGCGGTGGCTTTTGGGTATGTGCCTCCAAAAACCCATTTTTAATGAAAATAATTGTTTCTATGGAGTTTTCACGCGTTGCAGAAACAAACTCAGAACAATGGCAAGTGCGGCATGTGCGGAGATGATTACAGCATGAGTATGCCACGACCCAATGAGCTCGGGGGCAAATATGGCAGCGGTGTGATAGTCAAGAGTTATGTTGGCGTCAGCTCGGCTGACATTAATGTACTCATAACGGCCAATCATATGGGCCACTTTAGTTTCAAACTGTGCAACCTGGATGAGTTTGGCAGTGAGTCGGATGAATGCTTTGACAAGTATCCACTGGCGTTTGCCGATGGTAGCCTTAAGCTCTACATTAGCTCCCGGACTGGCAGCTACGATATGGTTGTGCAATTCCCCCAAGGAGTCAGTTGCAAGCATTGCGTACTCCGTTGGACGTACACGGCGGGTAATAATTGGGGCATCTGTGAGGATGGCAGCGGTGCAATGGGCTGCGGTGCCCAGGAGAACTTTGTAAACTGTGCTGATATCAGCATTGCGGGCTCAGCTCGGGCATTAATTGAGCAGGCGGTGGAGGAGGCTGCTCCTGAAATAGAGGACTGACAAAAAGAGTTACTAATCTCAGAGTTACTAATCTTAGCAGTAGATTGATTTTGTTTATATTACGAATGCATGTTTCATTTTATTCAATAAATCTTTTATAATTTATGTATGTATATGCGCCAGTGTCTTGTATATGTATATATGCATGTATGTATAAATCTTGTTGCATGTCTTCTGGTTGTTTGTGTGTGTGTTTTTGTGTGTGTGTGCTTGAGTGGCTTGTGCGAGCCTTCATTTTGGTGGCTACCCCGTGCATCTAATGACTGGAGCCGGTTCCATAAAATGCAAATTGCGAACTGAGTTGTACATGAAAATTGTGTGAATGCGATTCGAAAGCCTCTTTCTGAAAAATATGCAACGGTCGGCACACAATATCTCTGTATTAAATATTCAATTTGAAATATTTGTATGCTTGTACGCTAATGTATATGTATATATGCATGTAAATGTGTATGTATATATATATGGATGTATATATATATATGTAGATGTATATATGTATATGTATATGTAAATGTATATGTATCTGTATGTATGCAATATTTGTAATTTGTTTGTTCGCTTAAATATACGTTCACAATAACTGCTTAGTAATTAGGTTCACAAATAAGTTTGTCTGTTAATTTTTACAAAGCGTTCAGGTCGTTGGCAAATTAAATAATTGCAATCGATTAATTCATTTTGGTAATTTCGCTACTTGCATTGAACTCAAATGTTTTGTTCTTTTTTCACTTTAGAATTGTGCATTTACTTAACATAAGCACATTTCAATGCATTTGCATCTATATTTGTAGTTAAGTATATTTGTTTAACAATTAACCAAACAAATCGCAAACAACATTGTGTAACGTTTTTGGTTTTATTCACTATTATTATATTGTATTTTATTTAAAGGATTGCCACTAGAAATTTCATCAAATTGTTTCTTTTCGTTTTTCTCTCTTTTATTTTTAGCTCTATGTAGACTTATGTACTTTATTTATTTATTTTTTTTTTGTTTTTTTGTTATTTAAAACTCTTGTAACCCCAAACTACTTAAGTACGTACTTGTCCAGATTAAAAACTATAAAAACACCTTGACTCATTTCTTTATATTCACTTTAATAATTATTTTTGTTGTTTGAAACTGTGCGAATTGTTCACAACTGAATTGTATTTTGTATTCCATTATGTATGTCTGTGTTGGTTACGAGTTAAAAAGCATTTTAAAATACAGTTTTTTTTTGTTTTTGAAAAAATATATAGTACACACATACATAAGGCTTATACACTTTCAAATGTTGTCTCTACAATATTTTTTGTAAAAGCACGTTGTAAATTTCACACAATCTTTTGTAAAGTTTACTCACATGTTTTTCTTTTTTTGTTGTTGTTTTTCAAAGATTTTTCTCTTTTTTTATAAATAGCTAAATATTTCATCTTGTTTTCAAAAAATGTAACATTATACAACACTATTTGTTTTATATACCTGAATTTTAGAATTTTGTATCCGAAACGCCATTTTTGGTTTGAGGGTGTCTTTGTGTGTATTTTTTTCTTTCTTTTCTTGTTTTGCATTGTAAAAAATTTTGTTAGGTCGAAATGGTTTGGTGCCAAAAGTTGTTGTCGCCTCCTTGTATACATTTTGTATTGTGTATTGTACAAGTTGTCAAGATTGGTTATAAACTAGTGTGTCAAAAGTTTTGTCGATTTGCCAAAATATTTGCGGCTTGCACTTATCTTAATTGACTAATTTCAATGCCGACAGAGTTCTGGAAGGATATTGACTGGATTATCCCATAGTTGGTTGATGTTTTTTTCTTTGTTTTTTCTTTTTTTTTGTTTTCGTTTTCGTTTTTGTCGGGTTTGGGTCTATTACACTAAATTGTATTTTACGTATTAAGTTTAAACTTGATTTTTTTGTTAAGTCATTGGCACAAATTCGCTATCTGAGTTCCTGTCTAACAGTATGCTTAGTGGGGTGTGATTATAAAAGTTTAAACAGAAGACGCAATTGGGTTTGCTTTATTTGAACTTAGCAACAAAAGGCTAAAATGTTGGTTGGTAGATGTTCGAATTTACCAATATATGCATCGCTATAATAATTTCACACGATTTGATTTGCTTATAAACTTTGTTTTATTCTTTTTATAAACATTAACACGCTAAAATGTACTCTCTTTTTATTATATAAAACTTTGTTTGCAACTATATTCATAAAAAACATATAATCTAAAAGAAACTATATTGTAAATTATAAGTAAGTGCGGCTTTAAAAAGTTGTAATCAATTTGTTTTAATAACTAACTATTACACAAATAAAAAGTGTGTGTGTTCGTGTGTGTGTGTGTGTGTGTGTGTGTGTGTATGGAAGTTGGCTGTCATTGAAACAACTTGTGGAAAACTGACATTCATTTAAACAAAGTTTAATATTATTGCAATTTGTAATACATAAAATAACTATAATTTCGTAGCTTTCATTTATTTTATATCATATTCATAATCATGCTAAAGCGGATGTTATTTGCTTGCACTGTAACTATGGCCAACTGAACTGAACAGAAAGAGAACTGAGCAAAAATTGTTATTTTGCTGAAATAAAAACACTTCACTTTACCAAGTTTACCACACATCAAATAATACAAAGTTTCTGGCATTTTTCATCTTTCGCAAATTGGGACATTGAACTGAATATTGATCAATGTGTTGAAATTTGTTTAAAGCTTGTTTAATAGCTACTTTTACAAACTAGTAATATTATTGTTGAAAGCCAAATGATTATTTAAAACTAAACGCAGTCGCACACTCTATTTATAAAATAAAATTAAATAAGCGAAAACTACATAGAGACTAATTGTAAAATATATACTTGTAAATATGTATAATAATCATAATCATAATAATAATAATAAAAACAAAACATTTATAATTTTATGTGTATTGCAGCAACAGTGGAAGACAGTTTTATATTTATCAATTTTTGTTTCTTTCTGTTTCGATTGCAATTCTTTTCAATTTTGTTATTGTTGATTTATTTAGTTGTTTCTTGTTGTTTATTGTTGTTCTTCAATATTTATTTAATATTGCTGTATACAAGTTAAAAGAAGCAGGAAACAACGGTCTAAACTAAACTAAGTAATTATATAAATTAAATTTGTTTATTCAAATTAAATAGACAACAGTATAAAAAATAGGGCCAAAATAATAGTAGAATAATAATGTACATACAATTTTAAAAATCTTTTCTTTCTTCGAAGAATATTCCAAAAAAAGAGAAGAAAAAAAGCCGACAATTTAAAAGCATTTTTTACGTGCGGTTTTGTTTCAATGCGAAAACCGTTATGACTAAATTTATATATGTATATATGTATAGTACAAATACAACTACAATTTCTCCATACAGCTTACGATTTGCGTTATCGTTATCGCTATCGCCATCGCTATCGATTTGAATTTTCTTTTTATACAATTTCTGTTTTTGCTTGTGCTAAATACACTTCAAAATTAATGTGCAATTTAAGTTAAGTTTAAAGCTTAAGCGCTATTATTAAATCGTTTTTTGTTTGTTTTTAATAGTATTCATTGTGATTTGCTTGCTTATTGTTGTTGCTGTTGTTGTTGTTGTAGTTTGTTGTTGCAGTTTGTTTTTTGTTTTCCTGTAAATTAATAACTAAGCCATTACACAATGGGTTCATAATGTATGTTCTTCATATATGCTTCAAAAAGTTCTATCTTCCATTCGTTTCTGGATTTATTAAGCTGCTTAATAAATTCATTTCTACTCTCTCCCTCTCTCTCTCTCTCTCTCTCTCTCTCTCTCTCTCTCTCTCTCTCTCTCTCTCTCCCTCTGTTGCTTTCTCTACTATCTGTCTGTCTCTGTTATGCTTGTAACATATACGACTATTGCAATTAGAATTTTTGTAATTTTTTTGTGGTCTGTTTTACTTTTTCTCTTGCATATTCTATCATTTTCTTCTTGCTTTTAATATAATCTATTTTTCTTGTTGTTCACATGCACCTCATACACGGTTCGGTCTCTATGTGTGTGTGTGTGTGTGTGCGCCGCTGCAATTATTTTGTTATCCTTAACTCGTTTACTAGCTTTAAGTAATTTGTCAATCGCAGCTAAACCAATTCGTTCACCTCCTGATCGATCCCCTCCTCCTGTCGTCTTCTTCTGACATCCTCTTCTGAGTCCCGGCGTCCTTTGCCTCACTTGTACTTGTTATCGTGTTCATTTGTTTTGTTAAGATGATTCACCTGTTGCAGACACTGCTGTTGTTGTTGCTCAGCGAGTTGTTGTTGATGTTGCTGGTGCATACCTGTTGTATAGTAATACGGAAAAACATCTGTACAATGTTTTCGTAATAGAAAAAGAAATCAAATTAAACGTTTCGGAAACATAAACAAAAGGATTCCATAGTGGGAATTGAAATAGAACGAAGAGTTTAATAAAATTGATATATTTCGTTTACGTATACAACAAATATAAATTGAAAAGATGCTCAAGTTTTTCTCCATTAATTAAGAAGACAAATATGATGATTTTATAGCTCAACTAAGATATAAAGAAATATTTTTAAGACAAAAATGTATACATATCAAGTCAAAAACTACTCTTCCTGCTAACTTGTTACTCAATTTAAGATATAGGAAATTAATTGTGTAATTAAACAAAATTGAGAGATCAATTTAAAAAATCAAATATTATTCAAATGAATGACAAATTTTTAGTGATAAAAAGGGGAAATCGTTCATTTCAATTGTAAATTGAATAATTATTCAATGTGCTCGGAATCAGTGTTGGATTTGAAGAGTCAATTGATTACTCATCATTCCAAGTACACCAATCACAATTCTAGTGATGAACACAGCACAATTTGTACACTTCAGCCAATTACCTGACGTTGCTGCAGTTTGGGCAGTCTGATTGGCGCTCAGTGTCGCCGATGAGGGGTTGGAGTCGGAAGGCGTGTTGGGACCGGCCGAGTGAGGTGTGAAGGGCGGATGACCCATGGCCTTCTGTCGCACCTCGCGTATCTTCAGCTGCAGATCTTGCTTGCGTGGAAAGACATCGATGTGTTTGGTCTGCGCAAAAGAATCATATATTAAATTAAATTTGAGTATAAATTTGGTTTATTTGTTTTTGAGTGAGTGAGTGAATCTGCAATACCTGGAACGCAATGGTGGCCTGTGTGGATGGGAAGACGCCGTGTTCGGTGAACAGTTGCATGACTAAATTGCGACGCGCTTCGAGCACCTTGCGGTGACCCTTCTCGCTGGCATCGGAGCGTGCGCTCTGCAATGGCGTTTTTGGTGTGCGCGGCGAGCGACCCGTTTGATCCGCCGTCTCAAGTTCTGCAGCAAATTGAAGATTAGTTCCAGATGCGCTGTGACAACAACTAATTGGGCTAATTGGTTTACCTCTCAGATCATTGTTAAAATCGGCGCCAAAGAAACGCTGTGTGGTTGTTGGCGGCGCCGAAGCGGGCTCATCAATCGAATCATCCTCGCACACTAAAATCAGTAATCATTAAACAAACATTAGAATTGCAGTTGCCATTTTTTGTTGCAAGTGTGAACATACTCAGCTTCTGCACAGGTGGCGCCACTGAATTCTTTTTGCGATAATTGGTGCCATAGACACGAGGCGGCGATGGCGCAGCAATGGCGCTGGGTGACTGACAATCCTCTGGCTTGAACTGAGGCAGCGCCTTGTACTTCTTCTCAAAGTCCACTTGCTTGAGCACGCTTTAATAGAGGAGAGATAGCGAAAGCGGATTAGTTGCAATGCTGACACAGTGGATAAAAGGGGATTTTACTTGTTAATTTTGTCACTCTTCTTCTTGTGGTTGACCACAGCGGGCGCCGAGGCAGGCACACATCTGATCGGCGATTTGGCCGCCTGACCGCACAAATTGCTGCTGTTGTTGTTGCCGCTGTTGTTGTTGCTCAAAGCCGTTGGCGTCAGCGGCTGCAGCTCATCGCTGTTGGGCGTCGTTGTCGATGAGGTGGGCGTGGGCAGGGCCGAGCTGAGGCTGCTGCTGTTCACATGACCAATGACGGGGGACGAGGCGGCCACCTCCATCAGCGTGGGCGAGTGCAGCTTGCGTCCAATATGCTGACCATTGCTCGACCCATAGCCACTACCACCACCAGTGCTGCTGATAACCACGTTGTCCGATTTACTTTGAGCTGCAATCACAATACAAAAACACAAAAAAAAAATTATTCAATTTTGTAAAATTTACAAAGGCATTTGCGTTACTCACATAAATTCTTGCGCCGCTGCAGCGGTGCACGTCCCAGCTGCGCTGGCGTTGGCGCCAACACAAACTGCTGACCATCCGTGTCCACATCGACATCCTCCTCAGCATCTTCAGCAGCTTCACAGCTGCGCTTGCCCGACGAATCAGGTGCGGCACTCAGATGATATGTGGCCGATTTGGGTGTCGAAGGCATCGACTTGTACGAGGGCGAACTAGCCGGCTGCTGCTCCTGGCCGAGACTGCTGGGCGCATAGGTGTGCAGACGCATCTGCGTCTGTGCACCAACTGGTGGCAGTGGTGGCGGCGGTGCACCCTGTACACCCACCAGGCCATTACTGTGCTTCTTGAAGAGATAGGTGGGCCCAAATGCCTCCATCTGCAGGTGCTCCAAACTGGGCGCGTTCTGCTGATGCGGCGGTGCCAGCAGTGGATACTGCAATAACCAAAAATACCAACGACACAATTATAAATAGCACAATTAGGATTTTAAAACTATTCAATATGCATAAATATAGTATATGGAATACAATCGCAATGTTTTCAAAAGTTAGTAAAAATATATTCGTTTGAAATCTGTTTCTATTTCAAACTTTATTTTATCATATTCCATTTGGCACAAATGTATTCAGTAAATTGTGCATTTGTTTAACAGTCAAGATGTGGATCGCGATTATATCATTAATACTTTGTTAAGCACAACCATAAATAATAAACAATAAATATATAAATATTTAATACAGAGTATTGAGCAATTCTGATCAAATTCTGGCTTGTTGCACTCACCGGATGTCCCATGGCAAAGTACATTTTCTGTTGTGGCGCTGGACCCGCTGTGCCCAGGATTTGCGCTGGCGCCGACGCAGGGGGCGTGGCAATGCTGGCCGCATGCCCCAAAGTGACGGAAGCTGGTGAGTTGGGCACACAGGCCTGATGGGCTGCGGATGAATTTGAGTTGATCATAAATATTGTTGTCGCATCGTTTAAAATGCTCTTGTTTTTATTGTTGCTGCCATTGTTGTTGTTGTTGTTGTTATTACTATTGTTGTTGTTGTTATTGTTGTTGCCGCTGTCAACAGCGGCTGTTATGGTTAGTTCATTGGGCTTATTAGTACTATGATTTGCTGCCTTGGTTAGTACGGTCAGTGTGGGCGTGGTCGCTGTGGACGTTGTGCTCAGGATGCGTGTATTGCTTGGCAGCGTGATCTTGTTGCAAGCATTGATGCTGATGAAGGACAACGGACGCAATGTTGCACCCGATGTTGATGATGCAACATGTTGCTGATTATAACTGTTTACATCGGTGATGAGCAACATTGTTGCTGGCTGCTGCTGTTGTTGCTGTTGTTGTTGTTGGTGCTGTTGCTGCTGCTGCACTCCAGTTGCCGTTGTTATTTCGCTCAATTGTTGTCGCTGCTGTGGCTCATCGGTGTTGTTGTTGTTGTCGTTGCTATTGCTGTTGCTGTTGCTGTTGCTGTTGTTGTCGTCTTCGTCGTCGTTGCCATGCAGCGTATCCAACACTAAAGCGTCATACAAAATGGCCGCACGTCCCGTGGCTTTGCTGGCATCTTGCAGTGTCAACAATTTGCGTATTATGGACGTAGTTGTTGTTGTTGTTGTTGGGTTGGTGTTTGTATGATTTGTTGTTGTTGTTGTTGTAGATGTTGTTATTACAGCAGCAGCAGCATTATTGAAATTATTGGAAAATTGAATAAGTTGCTCGTTACTGTGACTGATTGCTGATGATGATGATGTTGTTGTTGTTGTTGTTGTTGTTGGTGGTGTGTTTGGGTTTGTTGCTGTTAAACTTGATGATGTTAATGTTGTTGATGTCTGAGGAGCTTTTGAGCTTTTGAAAAACAATGGCGGCGGTGTGTTATGTTGTTGTTGCTGTGGTTGTTGTTGTGGTGTTCTTTGTTGTGTGCGTATAATGGTAAAATGATTACGCGGCAGCGACGCTGTCGTCACTATGATCGTTGGCGTCGCCGTCGGCGTTGGCGTTGGCACGCGCGTTATGACAGTTGGCGGCGTTTCGACGCGCCGCTGATGCAAATGCTTCAGCTGATGGTGTGGTGAGCTCGCCGGCTGCTGTGGTGTGAGCGAGCGCACTATGGTAAACTGTTTGCGCTTCAGCGGAGCAATGTTGGTGGAGGAGACGGCGGAGACTGTTGCCGTGGTGGCAACAACAATATTATTTGTAGGCATTGGTGTCGCTGGCTTGGCAATGTCATCGAAATCTGTGGTCACACTGGCCAGCTCAGCCATAAACTGCTCATCGTCATCGTCATCATCATCGTCATCAACATCGTTGTCATCATCGTCGTCATGATCATCATCTTCATCTTCATAGACGTCTTCATCGACGACATCATCATCTCCTCCGTCATCCTCATTGCAATTATCGACGTCATCGTTTTCATCTTCCGCTGCTAGCTGATCAGAGCTGGAATTGGCTTTGTCTTGTTTCTGGTGGGATGCGAGTGGTTCTTTGGCTTTGCGTTGAAAGTGGTGATGCGACAGAGAGACGAATGGATTGATAGATTGATGGATGGATTGATGGATGGATGGATGGATGGATGGATGGATGGATGGATGGCCGAGGTAAAAGCAGGTGATTGCATGTAGATGTTTAGAGTGTGTGTGTGTTTGTGGGGGTGGTTTATGGGGTTTACGGGAATGGAGAGATTGTTTGGATTATGCGAGCGCGTTTTGGAGAAATAGAGAGAAAGATGTTATATGCATAAAGCTTTCGTTAAAAACAAAAGAATACTTCTCAGATGAGCGTCAGAGTTAGAGTTACGTCAGATGCAAATGGGGTGGCGGGTTGGGCGAAAGGGGCGCTTTGGTTTAATTTTGTCTTTTTGGTATACACACAAATATATATAACGAATATTAAGAGTAAAATTGTGCAAATCAAATTCAATAAATCATAGTACAAATAGCAATGCCAATTTTCAGATACAAATTAAAAGAGAGAAAATCAAAATAAAACAACAACAAAAGGGCTTCAATAAATCACAAAATAAAGTAACTTATAACTTATAAATGAAAGAAATATATTTGCATTTCTATATATTTATCTCGAGGTTGTTGTCTCGGCTAGAAACTCACCTCTGACATCTGTGGGCGGACTGCAGAGTGTGTGGTGCATGGGGGGATAGTGAAATTGCTTCTGGCTGAGAGCCGTCGCAATTGGCACATTGAAATTGAAGATGGCCCCAACTGCGCTGCTGGGCGGCGGTGCGCTTATTACGCCACCCGTGGACACCACCCCACCAGCAGCACCGCCGCCGCCGCCGCCATTCAATTTATATGGCGATGGTGGCTCCTGTTTAATGTCCTCCTGCTTGATGTGGGGCTGCTGCAGCTGTTGCTGCTGCTGCTGCTGCTGTTGCTGCTCATCCGATTTGCAAGCGGAGGAGGAGCTGCTGCCCTTGGGACTGATGGGCATCGATTTGAAGGCGCCGCCTGTGCGTTCAAAGTGAAACAAAACAAAAGAACAACAATGAGCAACTGTTGCATGGATAGGATGGTATTTGAATGTGTGCTTTGCTCGCCTGTGGGTTGGAATGGTGTTACACCGATTGGATTCTTGGGACTAGTGTAGTGCGTATACATGGGCATCTGTGGATACGGCAGCATGGCGCTCTCCAGCCCCGGGTGTGCCTTGATCGCCTTTGGCTTCAGCGTAATTTCACGCTCTCCCACACCACTGGACGCTGGCGCTGACATCCCCTGGCCATTGCACATACTCGCATGATCCTCCTGCGTACGCTGTGTGTGTGAATCAAACATTAATACTGCATGCATCCTTTGGGAAATGCATTATTTGTAATTACCTGTTCCGGTTCCGTTGAGGGATGCTGCTGCTGTTGCTTGCGATAGTCGTAGGGTGTTTCATCCATGTCCAGGTCGTTGACGCGTTCGCGGCATTGCAGATCGAGTTTTTTGGGCGTCGGCGTCGGCTCATCCTCGACGACAAGCATTTGCTCATCCTCATCCGAGGGCAGCTCGTTCTTCGGCAACTTGCCCTTGCAATTGCCCTGACCACCCACCAACACCGGTGCCTGGCCAGCGATGGTTGTGGGCGTATCATCGCACGCCATGTTGTAGGTGTCAATGGTCAGCGGGATGATGTCGCCTTGCAGCTCGACCGCTTGGGCACCGCTGCTGCCGCTGCCACCGGGCGTACTGGGGCACATGTCATCCTCCAGCGAATCGGAACCATCGACGGACACAAGACGCTGCTTGCCATCGCCGGTGGCATTCGTAGTGGCTGCCATCGGGCCGCCCTTGCCCGATGTGGACGACTTGCGTCGATCCTTGGAGCACCATTTCCATTCCGGATACAGCTGAAAATGCGCATCCTTCATCGATTTGGCTAACTCATGATACGGAGCCTTCTGCTCCGGCTTAAGAGCATACCACCATTCGCCCAGAATCTTGCTAACCGTGCGATTATCCTGATTGGGATGCATCTTGTGCACCAGCTTACGATGCTTCTTCGAGAAGATCATAAAAGCATTCATCGGCCGACGAATTTTCTTGCCAGCCGCTGCCGCCGTCTGCTGCTGATGCTGTCGCTGTTGCTGCTGTTGTTGCTGTTGTTGCTGCTGCTGCTGTTGCTGCTGTTGCTGCTGCTGCTGCAGTGCACTCAGTGACTGACTGCGTCGCTTGGCTGCCGAGGTGGCTGGTGCACCAGCAGCACCATCGCTAGCATCATGGCACTCTTCCAGTTTGCGTATATTGCTGTTGCTGTTGCTGCTGCTGTTGCTGTGGCTGTATGTGGCCAGACGCATTGCAGCTGTTGCTGCCTTCTTTGGACCACCATTAGACATGGCTGGCGCACAGGGCGTCATCGGCTCAAATACATCATCGTCCAGCTGATCATCGGGATCATCTGCCTCATCTGCTCCACTGATCGAGCCAGCTGCGGATGCTGTTGCTGCTGCTGCCGCCGCGGCTGCTGCTGCTGCTTTTGCATCGTTCATTGAACAGTTGAGTGGCTTGCCTGGCGATGCAAGCGGAGCAGGCACAATCAAATGATTGTTGTTGTGATTGATCGACGACGGCTGCTGCTGCTGCTGTTGCTGTTGTTGCTGATGCTGTGTTGCAGCTGTGCTTGTCGGCGGCAAGGAAGCCGCTTGTTGCTGCTGTTGTTGTTGATGGTGCAGCATGGCCACGCTATAATTGCTGCTTGTGGTTGTCACCGTTGTCACCGCGGTCGCTATTGGCGCTTTGGTCATGGTTGGCATTTGCGGCAGTAGCTTTTGCCACGTGTAGCTAGCCGCATTGTAGCCTAAAAAATAGTTAAGCGTTGATCGCGCAAATGATTAAAATTGCCAAATAAAGATTTATCCACGCAAAGGAATCTCAACTTGATAGCTATCGAAAAAGAGATCCCATTCCAATCTAGGCTTATCTGAAGAGAACAATATTTTTTATGGAAATGTGCAAAATGCACTTCAAGTTACAAGTTTATTATTATTATAAATATGTATTTTAGGACATATACAATCGGAAATATAAGCCGAAAGAAGTCTAAAGATATTTAAGATTCTAAACATATTTAAGATCCTTCTATTGCATGGCATCTGTTAGACCTGACGACAAGTTTCAATAGAATTCAAGATATATTGGATACACTCAACTAGATTATGTGAACTATGTTGTCTCATTTAGACAAACCAAAACCTGATTCTCGAATTGACTGTCAATAATACTGTTATTAAATATAAACAATAAAATGTCTGCTCATTTGTTGCAATGTAAATATTTATGAATAACAAGTGAATTCTTTTGGTTTATTTACGTCCAAAGTTGTTTCTTAGCTTGGCTTGAATTGCATCGAGATGTAAGCTTCTTGGTTGGTTGAGTGCCTAAACACGAATCAATTATTAAGCAAATTCGCATTTGTTTCATAGCTCTCGCATCCGAGTATCTGAATTAATATTTCCGATTCACATGCATTGCACACCCCACATAGAGTCCTAGTCCTAGCGATAGTCCTGTTGTCCTGTCCTGTTGTGAACTTACCGTTTTTTGGCAATGCCTTGTCCTGGGCCGTTGGCAACGCCACTGTTACGGAAGTGGGCGTGGTTGGCGGATGCGGATGAAACGAAACCGATGTGGGCGGAAGTGGCTGCTGATGTTGCTGTTGCTGTTGTTGATGCTGTTGTTGCTGTTGTTGCTGTTGTTGCTGTTGGCCAACGGAAACAGGCAATGAATTCTGCGCATGAATCTGCGACTGCTGTTGAGCAGCAGCATTCACAATAACCGGATGAAAAGTCTGATGGCTGGCCGTGGATGCCACAACATGTTGCTGTTGCTGTTGTTGTTGTTGAGTTGCCGCTGCTGACGGTTGCAGCTGTTGTTGTTGTTGTTGGCTGCTTGAGATGCGTATGACGCTGGTCGCGTGTCCCAGGCTGCTGCTGGGCGGCACTGGTGGCGCTGGCAGCGCATTGAGATGAGCGGCAGGTGGTTGTTGTTGCTGTTGTGGCGGCGGTGCATGCATCACAAGCGAAACGGCCGCCGTTTGTGGCGGTGGCGGTGGCTGATGCTGTTGTTGTTGTTGCTGCACAGCTTGACTGCTCTCCCAGCCATTGTTGTTGTTGTTGTTGTTGCTGCTGCTGCTGTTCGTGTTGTACAACACTGGACTGGGTGTTGTCTTCCACTTGCTGTCCAGCGGCACTGCAGCTGCAACAGCAGCAGGCACATGTTGCTGTTGTTGTTGTTGCTGCTGCTGCGACTGATTCGCAATAGGCGTAAAAAAGTTCTGCCTATGATTGGAAACACTGATCGGCGAGTGGGTGATGGCATTTAGCGGCGAGGCGCCGGCATTATTCACGGGTGATGTATACGAAGGCGTTGCAGACCGCGAGCTGCTCAATGACACTGCAGTTAGAAAGAGAGTTTGAGAGAGAGAGAGAGACAGAGGGAGAGAGAGAGTGTGAGAGAGAGTGAGTGAGATAGATGGGGGGTAAATTGCGTAGCATAAACAGAATGCACATTTATGTTGACTGAGTTTTGTTTTAAAATGTGATTAACATTACATAAGCACTGTAAATATAATTTAGCGCCCAGCTCAAAGTCCTGGAACGCATTCATTTCGCTGTTACGACTGCTGTTGTTGTTGTTGTTGCTGCTGCTGCTGTTGCTGCTGCTCCTTCTGCGCTGCTGCTAGCTACTGCGAACTGCCTTCTTCTTGGTGAAGAAGAAGCACTTTGATTGGCATCACTTTCGGCACATATTTTCGTATTTAATTTTGCTTGAGAAAACTTTTTGTCGTCGTTGTCACATTCGTTTTGTCTGCTGCATTCGCATTGGTATTCACTTTTTTTTATACATATGTTTTTTTTTTTATTATTTATTTTTTGCTTTTGCGCCGCGTTCTGTTTTCTGTCTTCTTGCCTTGCCTTTGACAGTTTTCAACATAAAATGCGACGACAACGTCAAAAGAACGGCCAGCACTTCAACTGAGCGCGGCCAGCGACAGCATAAACTGAGCGCCTCTCTCTCTCACTGACAATCGTCGAGAGTTGCCCACTCTCTTTTGGCTGGCTGGCTCTCTTTTGCGCTCGTTCGCTCCCTCGCTCGCTCACACCATCCATGTTGTTTACCTGTTGTGTTCGCAGCTGTGTGACTGTGTGGGTGCTCTGAGCAGTGTCGGTGTGTCTGCGTCGGTCTGTCTGTCTCTCTGTGTGTGTGTATGTGTGTGTGTGTGCGCTCTCTCAAGTGCATTTCTGTTTAGGTAAAAACGAATCAAAGGCAGGGCAAATAACAAGAAAAGAAGAATCTGTTGCGCTTCGCACGCAGCGCGCTTTTGTTTCGGCTGCGCTGCATTGTTCGTTTCAAGTGGCGGCGTCGTCGTCGACGCAACGGCTGCATCGATCGCTGTATGCAGGTGCATTGGAATGCGTATGCGTCGATGCTGACGTCGACGTCGACGTCGCTGCGTCTGTGTATGCGTCTGCGTCTGCGTTTACGTTTAGGTTTGCGTGTAAATCACGCTGCGGTCACACTTTCAAGTGGCTAGCTAACGTTGTTGTTATTACTGTTGCTGCTGCACGCACACGTCAAACAATAGCACCCCTCATCGGCAAATGGCCCCGAGAACACCTTTACAAAACCGACGACCATTGTCCAGAGAGTGTGTGTGTGTGAAAGAGAGAGACGATGGTCAGCAGCGGCGCTGCCACAATAAAACTTTATGATAGGCATTTTTATAAGGAATTCGAAATGCATTCAGAAACAATGTGAAAGTCTGAGCTGCATCGATCGCTCGAATCCACTACTTGTGGCATTTTGAAGGCTTGAAGGTTTTGCATGTTATTATAAATTCTCTGATTTATATTGGATCATAAAAGTTTCGTGCATTAATCAGCCCAATTATTTCGAAAGATCAGCAAAAATAAAAGTATGCAAAATTTGTCTTGAAATCATCAGATTACTTTCTATTTATCATTTGAGATTTTAATATTTATCTGTGATTTGAAATGCATTAAGTTTTCTAAGCTGTAGATTTCAATTATTTGCTAGTTTCAGTCAATGATTTAATCATTTTTGATATTGTAAACATTTTCGACAGCTTAATCAACAGTTTAATATTTGCTAAATATTAAAGTTATAAGGCAGACATCGAAATAGTCAAATATAAAGTCAGTTTTAGAGTAGCGCATTTAACAGTCACGTATGCCGTAAGCAAAACGTCTATTTCTTGAAGCGCCGTTAAAAACAGGCCAGGCCAGGTCAGAGAAAGAGCCCAAATCCAGTCGAGAGGCAGCGCTTTTGACGGTTCCTGTAACTGTGTGGGTAATTGCGTGAACAAAGATAGATTAACAGGCTAAACCTGGCGCTCATTTGGGCATTGAGAAACGCAGCCAAATTCAGTGCGAGGGTTTTGTGTTTTTGGGTTTGCTGGGAATGCCAGCCTTGAAAATGAATGCGAGCCAAACTATGAATAAATTTTAAACAAAATTTTGGTTGCTTTCACGATACGAATGAGGATCATTGACAGCAACAAAAGCAGCAGCAGCAGCAGCAACGGCGGTGTCATAAAAAGTCAAGAGGTGTGAGTTGCACGTACCTAACATGACTGCCACATCGGTCTCTTCCTGATCATAGCGACCGGTGACCCGATAGTTGGGCGATGTTTCCGAATCGCGTGAGGTGTCCTCATCGTTCTGTGTCTTGCTGCTCGAGCGGCTATCACTAGAAGAGAACGATAAAGGCAGACAGAGAGAGAGAGAGAGAGAGAGAGAGAGAGAGAGATAAAAGTAAAGAGAGCGTTAGATAAAGAGCAGAGATAATTGTTGTTGTTGCTTTTTTTTTCGTTTTTATAGGCACCTGAGAAAACGTCCCGGCCCCGTTGATGAGGGCTGCGCATTGTTGCCCTTCTGATTCAAATGTCTGGAACAAAAGCCGCGCCGCTGAGATTCTTTCATGCACAGCATGCAGAGACGTCGCCATTGCTTGCCATTGTACTTCTTGCGCACTCCGGATTCCGATTCCACAATGTCGCCCTTCTTGAAGCGATGCGGCGTCGTTGCCTGAGATCTGTCAACGAAAAATACTTTTCCTTAATACAAGACACACACACACATATTACAAGCACACACGCAAACACTCGCACACACACACATACTAGCATACATAATTATAATTAATGGATTGAGTTTAAGTCAGGCTCAAAATACTCGAGCTTAAAAGAAAAGCAACAACGAACCCAGCTGACGCCGGCAGCGTTGAAAGCTTTTGTAGTTCCCCTTAATAATAAAAAATCAAAGCGAGGCAAGCTCAGAAATTCGACAATGCTGAATGCGACTAGCCTGCTGTGTTCCCATTGAAAAATTAGGAGAGAATTTTCCATTTAAGTAAGGTCAATGATTCGTAATTGTAGACAGAAATTATAAAGCATTCCTTCAGCAATGTATCGCTGGGAATTTAAGCTGAACTGAAACTGAAACTGAAATACTTTTAGCTTTTCTGTATTTTCAAATTAGATTTGTTTCCTTTTTAGTTACACATAGGAATGCTCTTAAATTAAACTAGGACTTGCTCTTTGGAAAAACTCGCATCCTTTTTAAGAATCATTTACAAAATATAGGGTATATTTTTCTTCTATTCTCTTTATTTTGGCTTGAAAACTAAAGCTTTTTAATAGCTTTTTCGTTTGTAATGAGTTTCATGATATTGATGAATTGGCAGGGCAATTGTGAAGGTGTTTTTTTCTTTGATGTGCATACCTTGGAGTTGCTGGATGAGATCGTGGTGTCAGCCTCTGATCGAGTAAGCTGGATGTGCTGCCGCGACTCTGCATGCTGCTCCGCTTGCTGCAGGCGCTCATCTTCTCGGCATCCACATCGCCAGCGGCCGGTGAGTAATCGATGCCGACGCGCTTCAGTTCATCATCGGAGTCGTAGTCGTCGTAGCTCCGCTGCTGCTGCTGTTGCTGCTGTTGTTGCTGTTGCTGCTGTTGCTGCGCTGGCGATGGCACATGCATTTTATGTTGTTGATGGTGCTGCTGCTGTTGCTGCTGCTGCTGTCCATTGCTGCCCGGCGAGATCACAATATCCGGCAGACCATTGGCGGCGTGCTGGTGGTGCGGCTGCTGGTGCTCAATATGCGCCAAAGCCGGCGGCGGCGGTGGCACCACACCGCCCTGAAACGGCGACGTGGCAGCCGCCCGATAATACTCTTGTTTTGGGAGCTGCTGTGGCGTGCTCGTCGGCAGCTTGCCATCATAGCGTGTGGCCACAAACGCCTTGGGATGATACAATCCACTGCCAGCACTTGCCGCTCCGCCGGATGCCTGCTCCGACTTGCGTTTGCCATTGCTGCCGCCAGCTGGCGTTGATGTCGCTGCTGTCGGCACCAGCTCGTTCAGCTCATCCCACCATGGCGGCAGCAGCAGACGCAAATCCGCACGGCGCACCACTTTTGTATTGGGCTGCAATGAATGAATGAACAAACCAATTTCAGCAATATAGTTTCGCCTTGTGAAACACAATCGAAATATTTGACTTGGAAACTTACCAACTCATCATTGGCTAATTGCACGGTGTATTGCTTGGTTCCCTGATTGATGTCCAAGAGTATGCCCTCCACATAGACGCAGTCAACGGTTCGCCCTTCGAGATTTTGGCGAACACAGACGCGCGCCTCCAGCGTGATCTGTTCAAGCAGAGCCAATGGATATATATTTAGTTAATCATTTATGATCAATATATATCAGTAAAAGAGATACTTACATCCGCCATGGGTGGACTGGCATCGAGTATCACATTGTAGCGTCCCTGTTGCAGCACATCCTGATACAGTTGCTGACCAAACTCGGCGGCATCGAATTTCACGAGTATTGAGTGGGGCGTATTGGCCGTAGGCGTGGTCGATGTCGATGTCGTGCTTGCTACTGGCTCCTGCACTTGCTGTATTTTGCCGGGGGCATAACACTTGCCAACTTTGGCCAGGACACGCGTATTAGTCCATTCGCTGAGATCGAGTAGAGCAGCAGGTTCAGCAGCGTGTTGCTGCTGCTGCTGCGGCTGCGTATGTTGCTGCTGTGTGTGTTGCTGCTGTTGCTGTTGTTCCTGTACATGTTGCTGATTGTGTGAGTTAAAGCTAAAACGTGGTTGCTGCTGTTGCTGATAGTAGAGGGGCGTGTGTGCGCGCAAATGATTGATTGCTGCATGACTGTTGCTGTTATTGTTGTTGCTGTTGCTATTGTTGCTGCTGCTGCTGCTGCCGACAGCAACGTGTTGCTTGTAAGTACTGGTCGCATTTTGCAGCGGCGATGCGATTATAATACGTTGCTGTTGATGTTGCTGCTGCTGCTGCTGCTGCTGCCTGATGTTCTCATTATTGTTGTTGCTGTTGCTGTTACTGTTGCCGGCGCCTGCACCAGCACCAGCAACTGCACAATTGATTGCTGCTGCCGGACTGACAATCATTGTGCGCAAAGGCAACGCATTTTGCTGCACAGCAGCAATATTGCGATTGGCAATCGGATCGCTGTTGTTGCCATTCGTTTCGGCGGGTTTCTGTTGCTTGTACAACATGTGCTGCTGCTGCTGCTGTTGTTGCTGCTGCTGCTGTGGCAGTTGTGGCTGCTGTTGCTGTTGCTCGACTTTGTCCAGCTCAGCTGGATCAAATTTACGCTTCTTGGGATGCTGGCGCGGTGGCTGCGATGGCTGCTGAGGTGTTGCTGCTGTTTGTAACTGTAATTGGGGCTGAAACAACACATGTTGCTGCTGCTGCTGTTGTTGCTGCTGCTGCTGCTGTTGTTGCTGCTGCTGCTGTTGATTTTGCTGTTGTGGCTGTGTTGTCTCAACTGCTGCTGCTGCTGCTGCTGTGGTTGTTGCTGTTGGTATACCGGCGACTGCTGTCGCAGGTATAACCATTGTGTTGGCGGCAACAACAAAATGTTGCTGTTGCTGCTGCTGCTGTTGATGGAGATGTTTATTTGTTATGACATAAGTTTCGCCAGCGGCAATTGCTGCAACTGTAGCTCCAGTGTGTGTTGCTGTTGCTGCTGTTGTTGTTGCATTGGCAGCGCTGAGCATCTTAGTTGCTGTTGCTCCTCTCGTTGTGATCGTTCCAATTGTAGCAGCAACATGTGTGTGGCTTATTGTTGTCGTTGCTGTGTTCTTGTTGCTGTTACTGTTCTTCTTGCTGTTGCAGTTGCAGTTGCAGTTGTTAATATTGGCTAGTGTTGGTCGTTTTATTGCATTTATTGTTTATGTTGTTATTATTATTGTTGTTGTTGTTGTGCAACGATGTCGCCCGCAACATCAGCAACATCATCATTATTGGCATCGTCGCCTGCAAATGGTAAACACGAGAGAAAATTTGCATTAATTAATTTGACAAGAGAAAGCCATTTAAAATCGTCGTGCAATGGCCAAAATGCCATTTCGCATAATTAGCACAATTCGCATCCTGACAACTCTGACTGCTCTGACAACCTGGCGCTATAACTTCTACCACGCCTCCGGCCGGCGCCTGTGTGCCTTTGCCCCGTCGTCTGTCGACGCAATAAAATTCAATCTCGGACCAAACTACATACATAAATGCATTCATACATATATCTTTCTATATATATATATAGTATAAATACATATATATATTCGCATATAGCTTGTTACGTCTGTGTGCGACGTCGACAACGGAAACATTTTAATTTACACAGCCGTCCAGGCGTCTGGTTGGTTTGGGCTCCTGGCGGAGGCGTAGGAGGCGTTTTTAGCAAAAGCGTACAAATAAAATTCTCGTATAAATGATACTTGAAAAAATTGTATGCCAAAGCCGCCCATCAACTCATCCAAACACGCTCATACGTCATATGTACACACACACACACACACACACACATACACACACCTATACATACATGTGCAGTATAAGCGCAGTACAGTTGCATACAAAGTGCAAATCATCTGGCAACCCCAAAAAGCAAGAGCAAGAGCAAGAGGCAATACAGCTAAGGCCCAGTTGCCAAAAGGCAACACGCAGACGTCGAAGACAAAAAGCTCAGCACAGTGGCTCAGTTTCATGTTATTTGTAACAAAAACAATACTTAAAAGTGAGCTTAAATCCTAATATAAAGCTGTGATATTGTTTGCCAATTCAGTTTTAAATGTATAAATACAATTTAGACAAACTCATGGTTATATATATAACTAATTGTTGATCAGGCTCTCTCCGTTTCTCTGAAATTGGCAATTTCAGAGACTATGAATTTGGAATAGCAATTATCGTATACCTCACGCATCGTATACAGACAGAAATTGTGTATAAATATTTAGAAAATTACACACAAGCAAAGATATGTTTATGTTTTTACTATAAGTGTAGTCATGGTCGACCTTTTCTTATTTTATATCAAGTATTTCTGTCAGCAGTTCCACTGTGCATCGCAGCTGCCGCCTCATTGACTTTGACAAACTTGCGCGTCAGACCCTTAACAGCCCAATCCACTCCACCACAGCCACCTACGCTCAGGTGGTACGCTATGGCAGCCGTCTCCTATTTATATTATGCGACTGCACGTCAACGTGGGAGTCTATTAAGGCGCTCGGTTATCAAAAGGGACGCAATTCGACGATTCTGATTTCGTGTTAATTGGCTGACAATCCCGTCTCAATCGGGTTCCAGATAAACGTGCTGCGTACCGCGTCGAGAGGCAACAATTCGCTAATCACACGATGATCATGATAAGAAAATTATTATTTGCCGCTAACAACTAACAAACTGATTGGCAATTTGTCGTTAAATATTGATTAAGCTGCTAACTAGGCGCCCAATTAAAATGAACAAGTAAAAATGTTGCAGAAATAACTTCTCGTTACAAGATATGTGTAAAGCATCAACATCTTTTAATTAAACTTTTTTTTTTTGTTGCTAGATTAGCTTAATATACATTTTTTAAATATTTTTTTTATTTTGTTTTAAATAAGTTGTGTTATTTTTATAATCTGCATTTGAAATATTAGATGCATTAGGGCTGGCATCTCTTGCAAATTCAACAACGTTCCCAAAGCCACAACTGGTAGCTTTGTCTTCCTTCAATGTATATGTATTAGTATAAACCCTGATCCGCCCATCCCACCCCACTCCCTTAAAATTCAATCAGTGTTGGCTTAGGCTATGAATGCGGTTGCACAAAAAAATGTAGCATACTCACAGGCTGTTCGCGTATATCTCTGCGCGCGCGTTTGTATGAGTGTGTGTGTGTGAGCATGTGCTTGTGTGTGTGTGAGCATGTGCTTGTGTGTTGTGTGTGGGCTGCAGCGTTGCCATATTTCTTCAAACCACTGCAATTCGGCTATCATTCATTTCACACAAAACTTCATCTCATACACCGCGCCCTCCTCTCTCCCCCCCCCCCTCTCTCTTTCTCTTTCTCCACCTCCTCTCAACGCCTATGTCACCGTTTTGTGTGTGGGCGTAATTGCGGGAAATGACTGCCACGCCCATTGTGGGCCACACGGCAACAGCGACAACAGCAAAAAAAAAAACAATATGGCAAGGAACTAGTAAAAAACAGAGGGAAAAAAATAAAGAACATAGCAACAGGAATAAAGCTTTGCTCCCACTGCTTTAGCTGTTGTTGTTGTTTCTGTTGCTGTCGCGGCTGTGCGCGGAACAAGTGCAATGATTGCTTTATTTTTATTTTATTTTTTTCATTTTTACGGTTTTTATTTTCCTCTTTGCCTTTTTACAAACTTTTCTTTTTCATTACCGGCAATTGGCTTGGGTTGCAAGGCTCAAATCCCCCTTTCATTATGTATATGTATTTGTGGGTGTGCGTCTCTGTGGCAGAATACTCTACTCTCACTCATCTCTCTCGCTCTTTTTTTTATTATTATTGTCATTGTTATAACAGGACAAGCCGTGACCAAGTCTCTCTCTTTCTCCTGATTCGTTGGTCAGATATGCATATGTATTTGGTATTTGCAAAGCTTTAATACAAATAGCAGCAGCAATTTCTTCATATTCGCTATGCATGTGTCTCCTCAGCCACTACAATAAATGCAATATGTATTTAAGGGGTAGAAGTGCGGGGGTAATACGTGCACTCTGCTTTACACTGAGCTACCGATGCGTGTTTAAGTAAATCAACGGTACGCCCGGTTGGCTATTTGGTGTGACTCCCACGGACACACCCCCCCCCCCTACCCCGCCCCCTACACCACCTTCTCTGTATCTCTGTTGAACCAACCCTTCCCATTCCCATCCACCACACCCGCTCGACTGTCAATCAGTCTCTGCATTATGCTGCCCAGCGTGCACACAGCTTTTGCGGCCACTGTAATACACAGTAGCGTCCACAAAAGTGTTCACAGCTGTTAGAATCTCTTTGCAAAAGGAAAAATGATTGATTTGAATAGTTAGTAACCAGAGCAAAATAATGTACATCAATTTAATAGCATTAACTTTGAATATTATAATTTTAGAAAACATTGATTTTAAATAATTATGATTTTTTATTATTTCAAATATGTACAAAATAATTACACACTACTTGTAGATTGCTAAAAATCAAAACAGAAAAAAATAACCATCAAATAGGGTACTTCAATGTCGAGCACTCTTAATTAAAGTAAAGCTGCTTGCAGTTGGTATGGCCGACTGTTATCGCTCTTGGCAATTATTATGTGGTTCGCAACTGCAGTTGGCATGTTTCCCATCACTGTTGTTGTTGTTATTTATTGGCATATTCAGTTTTATGATGCTTAAATTCACTCATGACCGTTACAAATGTTCGATTGATCTCAATGCAGTCATGATAAATTCTGAGCAAGAACTAGAGAATAAAATGCATACACTTACACATACTATTACATATTTGCTAGTATTTGTGAATGCATACATGCATAAGCACACACACACATGCAAATATTTGTTGTGATATGAACCGCATGCGTCGTAATTAGACTAGAGAGTTCTTTGAACCTTAACGGTAGTTAGTTTGCATTGTGTTTTGGCGCCAAATTCAAAACGAAATCGAGGCAAAGTAGCAAAAGTGTAAAATACACTCAGCACACAGCAAACAGACAGACAGACGCAGGCAGGCAGGCGAAAACACGAAGCAAAAGCCCAAAACTGGAAGCCCCAAACTTAATGCAGACGCTGTCGTTCTGCCGTCTGTCGTTCCTTGCACTGCAATCACTGCTGCTGCTAACGGCGCTGCCCGCACGCACTTACATTGACATGCATACACACATACATAAATACAAAGCAACGGTAGCACAGTCTGCCTGTGTGCTTGGCTGCTGCAAAGTCAGTAACCCCACTCGTTGACAGCAGCAGCAGCAGCACTAGCCGAGAGCACGCGAGTGTGGGGGCAGGCAGACAATAGCAAACGGTGGCAACGAGAGCGAAAGAGAGAGAGAGAGAGAGAGAAAAAGAGAGAGGGAGAGAGAGAGCGTGCGCTCAGCTCAGTAAGCATGCGAATTTGTGCGCTGTGATTTTCTTTTTTTCTTTCTTTCTTTTTGAATATATTTCGATGTTGTTGCCAACTCGTCAGAAGTCCTCCCATTCTCCATAATAGCAGCGGCAGCAACGGCAAAACTCTTAGTCATTCAAGGCATAGCAAAATGGAAAAACTGTAGCTCAGCAGCATCAACATCAAGTGAGAGTGAGTTGGATACTGAGAAGGGGAAGTGGAAGGAGAATCTTCTGCGGGTGCTGCCGAGCCACACACACCTAACAGCATCGCAGCGCAGCACAGCGCACCCCACCCTTGAAAACAGAAAAAACGACAACAGCGATGCCGCTCATTTGCGTAGAGTAGAGTCATGCGTTCGTTGTTCGTCTCATACGAGAGCCTCACACACACACACACTCGCGCACGCATGAATGCAATTCGCGCCAGAGGCGAAGAGAGAGAGAGAGAGATAAGTTACATTGGCGCGTGTAACTGCACAGCAGTGTTACACACAGTAGAGGTCATAAAAATTAGAGCACATGCATAAACAATGCTTTACCTCCACTACAACAGACAAACTAATATAATATACAACTTTTTTGTTCATTTTTTGAGTGATTAATTGAAAACACATGTGTTTGTGTACACATAGGATTTTATTAAAAGCATGCATATAGATTTAATTAACCACCACTGTATGTCAACTCGTTGTCTATGAGCGATGTGTATGCATGCAGTTTGCAGTTGTTGTTATTGTTGTTTCTGCTGCTGCAGCCTTTACTCATTTTTAGCTTTTTGCCTTTGCATGGCGTAAATTATTCCTA